GGGAGATTTTGCATATGGAATTTTCGGCGTTTAGGCATAAGGATAACACCACACGACATACGACGCATGGCTATTACGCCGCGTCCAGGTCATTTCACGTTTAGATACCCACGGCTATCCATCACCGATTCATCAGCCATGTCATGGTGGGACTTTTCATTTCAGTCATCGTTGGAATAAAAAGAAGAATAGCAGCTATGCTTACACTGATATCGTGCACCCACGTCCGCCGTTGTCAATGCTGTACCGCACCAGTCGAAGCTGCTGTCTTTACTCACGACGGCCTCAGTCTAAGTCGCCGCTGCTGTCTTTACTTACATCTGCCTCAGTCCAAGCCGCCTACCTTTTCGTCAGCTGCCGCAGCAACTGACCCGGTTGAAGCTGTTGTCTATCGTTACATCGACCTCGGTCCAAGCCGCCTGCCTCTTCATCAGCTGCGCATCGTACTTGCCCGTCGCTAGAGCTACCGGAGCTATGGTCACACAGGCCAAAAGAAAGAGGATATCTAAGGCCACAGTTAGTTCGGATGCAGAAGACTCTAGGGAAATACAGCGCCCAAACAATGAAGAACTACATGGATGGGATGTCTATAATGCTGTTGCTGAAGACCCAGAAGCTGCCAGAGCGGAACGAGAGTTATGGGTTTACCTGCCCTTTACTGATCAAGAATTAACGGATACCACGCTGTCTAGCGAGGAGGTCGTAAGGATGGTAGAACGCGGCTATCCCGCCCTTGCAACCAGTGCCATGGCGGATTTCTACCAGTCAGCTCGTGAGCACCTGTCTACATCGCCACCGCTCACCATCTCAGTGCGCGAGGAGTATCCGACGACATGGCCAACTACAAACACAGCAATGGATGGCTACTGGGGCCAAGCTACCGATGCGGAGAAAGCTCTTCACCCTCCTGACCACCAGGTTGACTCTACAGACGACTTTGCATGGCTTGATATGTCAGAGAGGTTGTTAGTCAAATCCTGTGGGAGCCCCAACGACTCTCTCATGGTGTTGTCCTCATATCCGACTGCTGACGTCAACTCAACTGTGCACTTGGCTTATGGGACCAACGACGATATGTCCAACTCTTGCATGTGGCTTTTGTACTCAGAGATGAGTTTCCATGTCGCTGATATCAGGGAGCATTCGATGTTCCATGTGGACGTCTTTCCCCGGCGAATAGATCGCAAGACTGTACCGGGTGGTGAAGCGACCCTCTTTCGAGCAGGAACACTTCCCACTCAACTTCGCAGACATTGGTAGGAATATGCCTTCAAGATAATATCTTGCTCTGAGGCAAAAGTCCTCCTTGTCGTTGGGGGAATAGCGGCCAAGGCGTACATGACCTACATTCAGGAGAATGAGATCGAGCATACAGTCTTGTGGACATTTGGAAAGAAACGATTCGAGCATGAAATTCCGTTAGCTTGGCTGCAGTTCGAGGCTAGGAAGATAAGGCGCCTGGCCTTCGCGATCCCACATCCCGAAGCTTTCTCGAGGAATCGCGCGTCTGTCCTAACGGACATTCAAAGGCAGTTTGCATTCCGTGAGCGGATATTTGACTACTGCCTAGTCCAGCTTTTCGGTAAACTCTACCTGCCTTACTTCCTCTCAACAACCGGGTACGCCTATTAGTTGAGCACGGGCAGCATTCTTAAGATGTCGGCTTTCCGGAATTTCGACGCAAAGAAGAACAACACCCTTAGCGATCATTTCAAGCGGCCTCCACTGGACATGGCCTCCTTAGACAAAACCTTAGAGAGGACATCAGGAATTGATGAGACGCAACGAAAGGCCATCATGAAAGTCAGGGCAGCTAATAATGTAAAGCCATCAGATGCCCTGACGTACTACAAAAGGGACGACGTTAAGCGCAAACTTGCTGGCTACATCATCACCTAAATCCTCTTGACTATCAAGGCCCTAGACGGAAAGGCTTAGTCCATCTCGAAGACCAGAGAGAAGGCCAAGGATCTACTAGTGGAAGAAGTGACCAGACGCAGGCACACCAACCTAGGGAAAAGCTAAACAGCCTAGAGCCTACGTTAACGTTAGGTCACCTACTTTAAAAGATTTTAGGTTAATGTAGTCTGCAGACCTGTTTAGCTTTTTACTTGTATGAGGTGCAGGCTCCGCTACAATAATTGTTCCATACGTGTCGGGGATGTCAAGCGCAACCTCCGCAGCGGCTGCTTCATTCCACAGGCTGTCAATAACAGGGTTCGTCAAGGGCCAGGTATGCGGATTGATCTCTTGGACAGGTATGCTGAAGGGCGGTGAGCTCTGGAGGTGCTCGTTGACCTGCAGAGGTAGAGGTGCAAAGTCAGTATATGTTTCACATGCATTTCGTACAGACAGGACTTACCGAGTCCTAAAAGATTCTCATCCTTTGGTTGGATGTTGAGAGTACAGGAAAGGCGGTTTCGACCATGCGCACAACATCGTCGCCAGTCAGGGTGATGTCAAACAAGGCATCGTCGGAGAAGGGGACGTGAACAGGTGACCATGCAAGTCGCTCAGCGCCGATGGTCTGCGGATCGCTCTCGTCCTCAAAGTCTGATAGGTGAAAGCCATTTGCGTCGAGTTCGTCCTGCTCCACTGATGATGTCTTCTGGGCAGCCGTCTGGACCTGAAGAGGCTGGTGGTCCCTGAAAAGACGCCGCTTCCTAGGTCGCTTCCGTTGGTCCTCCCATACTTCATGCTCCTCTTGCTTCTCATGCTCCTCCCATACTTCATGATCCTCTTGCGAGGCATACTCATCTTGCGAGGCATACTCATCTTCTAAATCAGACCCCTCTTGAAAATCACACACATCTCCTAAAGTGTCCTCCTCTTGGATGGTGGCCAACCTGCGCTTCTTTGTACCATGTTGCTTGTGCCGTGTACGCTCCTGATGCTGGTCTTGATCCTGATACTGGCCTTCATCCTGATGCTGGTCGTGATCTTGATACTGGTCTTGATCTTGATATTGGTCTTCGTCCTGATACTGGTCTTCATCTTGATATTGGTCTTCGTCCTGATACTGGTCTTCATCTTGATACTGGTCTTCGTCCTGATACTGGTCTTCGTCCTGATGCTGGTCTTCGTCCTGATGCTGGTCTTCTTCCTGATGCTGGTCTTCTTCCTGATGCCGGTCTTCACTCTGATACTGGTCTTCGTCCTGATGCTGGTCTTCACTCTGATCCTGGTCTTCGTCCTGATCATGAGGCTCTAGATATCTCAGGATGTCCGCCGACAGTGCCTTCTTCGCTGTCCGAGCTAACCGTGGCCGAGTTAAAGCCGGCATAGCAGGAGCGAGCGCGCGGCCGCGGTAGCGTCTGATCGGTGCCGGTAGCAAAAGGGAAAGCTGGGGTAATGGCAGGCGCGCGGCCGCGGTAGCGTCTGATCGGTGCTGGTAGCAAAGGCGAAGGCTGGGGTGATAGTAGGAGCGAGTGGCCGTGGTTACGCTTGATAGGTGTCGGTAGCAAAAGCGAAAGCTAGGGTAATGGCAGACGAGTAGCCGCAGTTGCAACTGATAGGTGCTGGTAGCAAAGGGGAAAGCTCGCTGGAAGTAGCAGATCCGGCAGCTGAGGAAGCTGAGATAAAGGCAGGCGGGTGGTGATTGCGTCTGATACCTCTCTAGTAGCAGCCGCTGCAGCACCTGAAGAAGCTGAGATAAAGGCAAGCAAGTAGTGATTGCGTCTGGTACCTCCCTAGTAGCAGCCGTTGCGGCAGCTGAGGAAGCTGGGATGAATGCAGGCGGGCGGTGGTTGCGTCTGGTACCTCGCCAGTAGCAGCAAATGCGGCATCAGTTGCTAGGCTTCTGTAGCCGCAACGGATAGCTCTGTAGCTGCCGTAGATGCTGCCTCTAGGTAAGATAGGTTCAAGATGAGCGGCGGCAGGCGTTATGTTTGCTGATGGGTGTAGTAGCAGAGTAGACAGTATAAAAGCGTCAGCTGCGCTGTGCCAGGCAAAATTGACTGCTAGTTCTGTAGAGGTGTTAGCCTTGAAGTTGCACAAAATTTGGTATACAATAAGAGACGCTGTTATTAGACTGCTGGAACTTCTTCTTAATTTCATCTGAACCTCCCGGTTTCTATTACTTAGTTTTCGCTGTGTTACGAACTGTTTCCTAGTATAATCTCTGCTTCTTAGCCTCTTCTTGATGTATTTACAATCGGTTATTGTGAAGGCGCCCTGCACAATTGTGTTATCGAAATGTTTACGTAGTTCGTCCGGCTTACGCCGCACAGGGTGGCTGGTTAGTGAAGATTCTAGGCTACAAGACTATCGTTGACCTAACGAATCCTCGGTACTATTCTCGACTGTGATAGCAATTGTGATCGAACTGAAATGTTCCTAATCCGACTCTGGGTGCAGGGAAGCAGTTACAAAACGTCCCTCGTGCGTATGGCATGGGGGCACAAGGCTTTTGCTGGTGGGGCAGTTGTAGTCGGTGGACTCGAGACACTATCTAGGTCTAGATCTTTCAGATGCTGGGCTAGGGAATAGGACTAGTGGGGTAGAAAGCCGTTGCGTAATGCTAGGAACGTTGTAGGATTAGCGTATACAGATCGTTGGAATTGGAGACGTGGCCTTTCTGACAGCGGATCGGACTCGATGACTAGACTTGTAACTAGTATGATGCCATCGCGATTAGCAGACCATCTCATCAAGCTGCTGTGTAGGGAGCAAAATGCTGGGTATAAGTTGCATGTTTGACACAATTTTTTCCATCCAATCAGGCCACGTGGCGCAATGGTAGCGCGTCAGATTCCAGTTCTCCTGGAACCTCCTGAAGGTTAGGCGTTCGAATCGCCTCGAGGTCATTTTTTTGGGCCCCTGGGTGCCTGGGACAATGCATACTTTTTGCCGTTGGTTGGGAGGGGATGCGTTGATGCCCTGGTGCGTTGTGGTTGACGGATTGCGCCAAGGAGGGGTGACTCCACCAAGAACCGAGGATCTGGACCCAACTAGACCATGACTCTTCTGAAATTGGCGTGCATTTGTTTGAACTGCTTGAATTATCCGAAAGATCCGAAGACAACCGCTTTACCAGATGAATTATCCTCCTGTGACATGGACCTTTCGAGCATTAAGAGGAGATGCGACGTTCTTATGAGGAGCTCTACCGGACATCAGCAAGCGTTGCAACACCAAGGAGGATGCATGGACTTACCGTCGTACTCAATTTCATACGTAACTGGCATATCCTCATCTGTGCTGATGAGGATCGGAGCGTCCCTCCGAAGCTTCCGTTCCCTGACATTGAAACGTATGCCGCTGTCCTTCCTCGGACTAACCCATAGGATGCACGGATCGTCCAAGTCTGCTTTCTCGTCCTCCACCTCTCTTACGACGATCTCTTTGCCCTTACCTACCTCCTCAACAACCTCATTTGGCACCTCCGTATTCGCCGTCAAGCCCCTCGCCGCAATGTCTCGCAGCCAATCTCTCCACACTCGGAGTACACCTTCTTCAATGTCAACAAAGTTGGTGAAGAGATTGTGAGAACCGATCTTGACAAGATTCGTCTGCGCAACCAGCTGCGTGAACAATTCATGCGCCTCTAACCCAAGTGTCTGTCTCACGGTCTCGCCTTCGTATCTCTCCTGTACTGCCCCCGGAAAGGTACGACTGCCAGGTACGTCTCCAGGTCGGCGCTTCACTCTCCTGCCATCCGCTTCCAAATCGCGCCTATGGGGCTTGAAGCGCGAGTACATGTTGTTGTATTCGGCCAGTCTGCCAACCTCCTTTGTAGCAGAGTTGTAATCATCGTAACTCTTCAAGCCATCGGTGCATCGGTATGTACAGAAGTACGGGGGCTCGGTGAGCTTCGCAGAGGGATGGAAACATTCGAGAAGCACCGAGTGCGAATGTAGCTCGGCAGCTGCAGTGAGCCGATTATGGAGAATACGTAGGATGAGCGTGTATATGCGGTGCGATATCGTGGTCAATTGTAGGAGTTCGGGCGTTGGTATGGGCGTAAGGAGGTGGAGAAGTAACTGCAATGGTTAGCAAGTTGGACGCGATACGGATGTGACAGGAAAGCGTGCCTCGTTGGGGAGCCTGTAGAGATAGCATTCACCCATGATGTGAGATGCGATTGTATGTATATCAGGTTGCAACGTAGAATGTCAAACTCGTGGGGCACGAGTCTACACACATGGGCGAAGGGAGCAACACCACGACTCGGAGATAAGATATCGTCATCGCGGTGCTAGGCTCACTTTGGCGGGGCCGAGGCTTGTCCGGATGAAGTTAGAACATCATCAGAGACGCGCTTTCCCATTCAAGCCTCAGCACTCACTTTCTCAACTCACCTCGCAAACCTCAACTTCAGCTGTTCGGCGACAAATACCGAGGTAATAGAGTGAGTGCGGCTCTCTCTTCATTCACGATGCAAGGCTTTGTCGCTCGTCAGAGAACCGGCAGTCCTGCCGCTGGTCAGCCTCAAGGCAAGCCCGACCGCCAAGCCAATGCAGCAAACGCGAGGGTATCAATAAGAAACGGACATCCCGTTCAGCAACCTCAATCGACTTCTGGTATTCCGGCGCGCGGACTCAACATTACCCAGAACAGCTCCGCCGTCTTACAGCCGCCCCTCCAAAATCGACAATCAGGTCCGGGTCCAAGTCAGAAGCGTGATCTCTACGACACTGATGCAGAGAGTCTTGACACTACTGTGAACCCATCTGTCGTACAGGTCGAAGATAGTCAACAGAAAGAGCAGCACTACCAACAGCAAGATCATGTCGTCAATCTTGGTGGCACTTCGGAGATGGAGGGAGAAGACGATGACAATGGAGACGAGCTAGAGGATATGGAAGACGGATCTGAAGATTATGACGACGAAATGGTGCAAATGAACCAAGAATTCATTCATGCGAGCGGAGTAGCACATCTTACTTACGATGAGCAAGTCGCCTTTTTGCATCAGGCAGGGCGCGGTGGACTCCCAACAGTCCGAGGCGACTCGTATCCCCCGACTACCAATGGTGAGCCATCCGAGTGGGAAGGCGGGCCGGAAGCACTCTCCAACTACCAAAACGAGTTTGTTCCCAGTTCCCCTCCGCCTCAACGTCAGAACATAAACAAGCAAGCTGCACGCATGCCGGCGTCCCATGTCCCGCAACAACAGCAACGGCGAAACATGCCAATTGCCAGCCAGGATACGCAGCAGGCATCGGGTTTGTTTCAGCATAGTGCGCAGCTCCGCGAGCAGTCTCGCACTGCCGCGCCTTCCCGGCAGGCTGGAGGTCAAAATGTTCAGCATCACGCCCTCGCCCTTCCCACCAGTCAACACCAAGCCTATAATCCGGACAAGCATAATAGCACCGCCAACCTGCCGATGTATTCGGGTCCTCATCCTAGTACCCAGGTACAGCCCAGCAAATCTCAGCAACACCTTGTTCGACAGTCTTCTGGCCCCAGGACGCAGCCCCCACCCAGGAACAATGCCATGCCCAGTGAGCCTCATGCGCCTCAAAAGCGCCAGCCTCTAGTACCGGCTATACATGAACCCGTCGCGCAGCAGCAATCGGTCGAACAAGCGCCGATCGAGGAGCCTGAGGTTGTCTCCCATGAAGACTACGACCACACGACGCTGTTCGGGATGAGTTACGAGCAGCTTAGGAACGAAAGCTTCGATACTGATCCCCGTGCCCGGCCGTCTGTGCTCTCAAAGGAGGATCTTCAGAAGCCTCTGGTCGAGCGTCTAGAGTTAGTACAGCAGAACCCAGATGCCGTTCAGCAATCCGAGTTCTTCCAATCACTGCCCACAACCGAATGGGAGGATGCTGGCGACTGGTTCCTCGATCGATTCCAAGACATCATTCGGCGCACAAAGGAGGCAAGGCAAAAGAAACGCAAGCTAGCGCAGGAGTTTGAGGCAGAAGTTGAGAAGCGACACGAGCACGTTTCAAAGCGGCAGCATCAAGTTCAGCAGGCGATGGAGAAGATGAAGTCGCAGGGTGAGGGTCTAGTGCCTAGGAGCCCAAGATCCAGGAAAGGATAGGAGCGAAGCTTCTGAGCTCTGCTCTCTTGTTCCGTACCATCTGATGTTTACACGGCGCAGCGCAATGATGGCTGCCATAAAAGGATGACTGTGTCCCGGCGCAATGGCACTGCTCAATGTCGCCACGCGTATATTATACCCATATATCAATCTACCTGCTATTTCAAACATAATCCTGCGCCATAACTTCTCTCGCGGGGTGCATTTTCTCTTACTGTAACATCATCCCGATGCGCTAGGGTTCAGTCATGTACTACCACTCTGAACTATCCTTTCCTACTATCATCTTGTGTACGGTTTATCTATCAAAAGCTAAGCAACTCGCAGTGCTGTCCCACTCAGAGGGGGAACTAAACAGATGAGTTGCATTCTACATTGATGTCGAAAATTGAAATTCACAAAATCTTCAGGCAATGTATACTCTTTGGAGGTTTGCTTTTATCAGCCTCCGTAGATGTATGTTCAATATTTCTCTTTGAACGGGGTCGTACTCCTCGAATCTATCGCGACCGTAGCGGTGTAGATCAGAAAGGTTTTCCACGGCAACGAGATGAATATTTGCAGATGAGATGCACTACCGATAAGACCATTGTCATCTCCCGACAAGCGCATCCTTCATCTCAGGATACTCTCTCCATAGATTGACAAGCGGCAAGAATAGATTCTTCTGCACCTCTTTTCCTTCTTGCTCAGCTTTCGCCTGTTCTCCAGCCCATGTCCACATTTGGCTCCAAGGAACCCAACTCCACGCAGCACATTTATGCGGTTCCATCGGCTGTCAAACCCATCAGTACTGTATCTCCTTTCCCCGTCAACTCCAACATGAAGAGGGACGTACCATGGGTGTCTTGTTTTCTCCGATGATGGTGCAAGTAACAAAAATGGTCACATAGTGCTTTCCCTCTCCGAAAACATCGTTGGTAGCAGTCAGAAACTTGATGTTGCCCACCTCAAGCCCAGTCTCCTCCAGAACCTCTCTTGCAGCGGTTTCAGCAAACGACTCGCCGTACTCAAGATGACCTCCGGGACATTGGAGGGTACCCGCGCCGTGCGAGCCTGCGCGCTCGCCCATGACGATGTTGCCCGCATTGTCGTGGATGATGACGCCGACGCCGATCTTGGGACGTTGAGCTTCTGTCATATTGGATGAAGCTGACGGGGTTCGCTGTTTCGTAGGCAGCTGGAAACCTTGGAAGTTTAGTCGCTGAAGTCGTGACTTTCTATGCTGGCCGAGGCTGCAGGCATGACTCTTCCCGATACATAGTGGCTGCTCCGTGCGCTAGCGCCTAAAGTAGTCTAGTCGATGTATCGCCCCAAAGCCCTGCAAGGCTGCCATCTCTACCTCCAACTGCATCGTGCTCAGCACACTAGGACGTCGCGAATGAGTCAAGCTGGTGGGAAAGGGTTACTGCGCTTCGAAGGCGGAGTCGGCACTCGCGGAAGGTGCAAATCAGGCCTCCAGATCCACCATCTGCAAAGTTCGCCCTATTCGGAACATGACGGAAGCTTGGCACGTCAGCGTTGACTTCATCGTCAGGATGTGTTGACAAATGTATAATCGGGATTTAGTGGCATAGTATGTTTTATCTCCACAAGGAGTCTGTTCTCCTGTCGCTTTTTCTTTCTCTCTGCTGGTAATTGCTACAACCAATCGCTCGTTTCGACGACTTCTCCAGCATCACAACACACCCAATCTTGCCACCGGCGATATCGCACAGCACACATTCCCATCAGCATGCCATTCGAAATAGCCCGAGAGTGTTCGTCGTATCATCTGATACCCCAATCAGTCGATGTCGCCCTGAATCCGCCCGAATCCTACTTCTTCGTAACCGACTTCCTGATCATAGCCTGCGGTATACTCTATACGCTCTGCTACATCTTCTACACCATCCGAACCTACTCGGACCGTTACCTAGCTGGTACTGTACAGTTTCTTTCCGCGACCATGGCGTACGAGATTTACTACGCGTATATCTGCACCAGCACGACTTTCCAGAGAGCTTGCTTCTTTGTGTGGTTTCTGTTCGATATTACGTTCGTCACTGTCGCGCTCAAGTATGCGTATAAGCCTGAGGAGAGAAAGAGAACGATCGTGAAGCTGTTGTGGCAGGTGCCGGCTTGGATGGCCTTTTTGTGGTGGGTTGGGACGGTGTGGCCGGATGAGAGGGAGCAGAAGACGGCGTTTTTCACGGGACTATATCTGGAGTTGCCCATTGGCTGGGGGGAGATCTTGTATCTGGTTCAGCGACAGGACACCAAAGGGCAGAGTCTGGAGATTTGGTACGTTGGTCTCTTTCGCGTTTGCATCATGGTCGTCGTAGACGCAGGACCCGAGCGCTGACAAGTCTAGGATTACGAGATATCTTGGGTGCATTACGGCGTTTCTGGTGTTCATATGGAGATATGTCAACGTACCGGAGAACTGGTCATACGTCGGCAACTGGTGGAGTATCGGTGGCATGATCGTCACGCTGCTGCCAGAGACAGTGTATCCGTTCTTCTACGTTTGGGCGCATCGGAAAGAGAGGGAGAACACAAGAAGGAAGAATGCTTGATGCTGAACGACGGATCCTGTCGATAAGAGAGGTAATTGCGAAGATGCAACACTTGTACCTGTACGGGAATCTGTGTGTCAACCCTGTCCAAATGTGCCGTGCCACATGGTTGTCCCCGCTCGTCCAATATTCGTGCATACCTCTCCAGTATTGTTGTCCGCGTCTATGGATACTTTCCTGTTGCATCAGCTGATGCCAGGCGCATAACAAGCCGGAAATTCGGCATTCTGATCAGGCTGTGGACTGATGCTGTGACAGTGCGCGAAACCCAAGACGGCCGATCGGCTCACAAGAATTTGCAGCCACGCGTACAGTCGTTACGGAAGTTATGCGGCGACGACCACGGATGTCAAGACAACTGAAAGTAGGATGACGCGAGCTGCTGGGTTCTTTTCCTTGAGCGCAGCGACAATTGGAAGTCGGTAGACCAGTGCGCGGGCGATGCAGCAATCTATTGCTGAAATCAAGATCATCGACAGGCATGCTGGTAGGATTGGACAAGCTTCCCAGCCGCGCG